ATAAAACAAAAAAAAACAAAAAAAGGAGTCTACAAAAAAAAAAAGTACCTTGTTGATTCGTGTATTTTTCAGTGTTAGTTTATCAACATAGATTGATATTCCTGATCGTGTAGTTTGTATATAGTTAGAAGATGTAGTTTGTATATATTTTTAAGAAATATAGTTTCATTATACATCTTAGTCTATGATTAGTATATGTACAATATATGTTAAATATATATATAGTCAGGTACACATGCGATATAATAAAAAAATACAGATTGTATATGTTCTCGTTGCTGCTTCTTCAACGAGATCGCTGCTGTGTTCTCGTTTTCAAAAATCAAATTATGCAGATTTTTAGGAAACTACTAATCTCGTGATTGTATGTTTATTCACTATTTTTTTAAGCATGCATCTCGTCGATTACGGGGGATATTGTTATTGTAATGCCCCGTTTATTTATGAATTATTTGAGATTATTTATTTATTTTTATTATTATTTATTAGTGTTATTATTAGTATTATTATTTTTAAATGCCAAATTGTCATTAACTGTCTAAATGCCTAATATTATTATTAATTAACGGTTATTTTATTTATCGATCGAGCCGATCCGAGTTAATATGGTATGGCTAAGTCGAGCCCGAGAGAATCCTTGTTAACTCTTGGAGCTCGACCCTTTTTATTTTCGAACCTAGCCCGACCCGCAACCCGACCCGCAACCCATCTCTTTTGCTTGGAGATTAAGATAGTCAACCTTAAGTTCATACTGATGTAAGTTCTGTATCTCTCTCTCGTGCACGCCGCAAAAACTCATACTCTCACCTCTCTCCCGCTCGCGATTGGCAGAACAGGAGATCGATCATCACATATCTCTCGTCGTTCTCTTTCACGCCGCAAGGAGAAAAGAACTCGCTCTCGCCACAACCTTCTTTTCCTCTCCCGCGATCTGTAACACGCCCCGTCGCGGCTGTTCCGCCGCCGTTCCCTCACGCAGACGAGTGTCGCTGCTTCCCGTCGCAGCGCCTCCGCGAGCATCGGCGATCCCTGCCGCCGCGCGCCAGCCCACCGACGGCTCACCATAGCAGTGTCCATCCATCCATCGCCAGCGCCACCTGCGGCCTTTCCTCGACGGTGCCCTCTTCCCAGCGACGAGTCACGACCGGCATTACGTGCAACTTCTGGCAATTGGGGCCACTGCGAGCAGGCCTGCAACTGGCGAATCTCTGTCCTTCGTCGCTGCTCTCCTCGCCGTGAATTAGCAGACACGCGCAGCACCTCCGAGCCGCCGCCTTTAGCCGCTGCTGCACCTCCGCGAGCCGAAGCGCCAGCTGCCGAGCACCGTTGCCGAGCCCGTGCGCGTGTTCACCCCGATTCAGCCTATCTTTCGACCGGTTCTCGACCCTCTTTGCGTTTAATTCCGAGAATGGTACCGAGGCTTTAATCTTAACCCTTTTATGATCTATATATGATGTGTTATTTTATGTGTTTACATGTTATATGATCATTGTTGATATAGGGATGAATATGTTGAGCCTTATTTTAATTAAATTATGCATCGATCTCTTCAGTTCGTGCGAACTCGAACGAGATCACGTTAAAATGTGTTAAGTTGCTGTGGAATTAGAACATAGTGAGTCCTTAGCTTTATGGTGAAGGCCTCGGATGATTTCTGTTTGTCCCATTTTTGTGTCTTTATTTCATGTTTATTTTCTTTTTGATTTGTAGGTTTTTCGTAGCTTATTTGGTCCATTTCTTTTGTTTTGTGTTTTTCTCCTTAGTTTCTATTTGTGTGTCTTTTTTTCGTGTTTTACCTTGCTTTTGTGTTTTCAGGAGGTAGGTTGTGCCGGTCAAGGTTAGGACTGCTTGAGCCGAGACCGTGATATCGAGAATACCCGTTGCCGAGCCCAGAAGACTAAAGGAAAGACTGAAAAACAGACAGGAAACGCGCCCAGAATTTCTCGCGACTCGCGACTCGCGAAAATGTCGTGACCCGCGGAAAAAACAGAGGTTTAAGGGGCAGTCCGGAGTACAAGTCGCGACTCGCGACTCGGGTCGCGACCAAACCCCAGAAATTGAAGATTTTGACGACGCGCGACTCGCGAGAAAGTCGCGACGGGGAAAAGGTGAAGTCGTGACTTATCGGCTCGAATTTTGAGGAGCGGGTTTTTAACATCAGATTTCGGTCCTAGGGTTGATTATTCACTTCCAGACTTTATTTTTACGCTTTTTCTCTCTAGAAACTCATTCATTTTCATGCTTTTTCTCTTTTGTTTGGATTTGGAAATTGAAAATCTCATTTTTCTCGCTTTGGATTTGGATTGTTCATTGGATTTGACATTGGGATTCTCATATTAATCGTAAGTTCTTTTTCTCAATTGCTTGTTGATGATGATGGCTTGGGTTTATATGAATTTTGATGTTGAATTTCATATGAGTAGCTAAATCCATTCGTAAGGGATAGGGGACGATTGATTAGGTTCGTTAATGATTGCATGCCTTTGATTGTTCATGTCTATGCGAGTTGTGAGAATTATAGGGTTAGTAGATTGATCACCTTTCTAGCCTAGTTAATCAACGTATAGAACCGAGAGGGGAGACGTTGGTCGATTTAGGCTCGTTTAGAATAGACTTGTTCAAAAACGTATTGTCTATGTGTTGTTGGAATTGATAAGTTGATCGTTTACATTCACTCTCTTGTAACGAAGAGTTATTGAGAGTGAACCTCTGAATGAGAAACGATTCAAGTCCTTTAACCGAGCAATTGATTGCCGGTAATTGTGATAGAACCGAAAGCAATTATCCCCGATTCCCTAGCTCTTTAATCATTCAGTGAATTTATTGCCATTTTACTTTCACTTTATTTAGTTTAAATCATTAGTTGATAATTGAAACCCAAAAATTATTGAATTAGAGTGTCTAGAAATTTGTCTTCTCTTTTTCATGATTGAATAAACGCACAAGAATATCCGGCTAACCTTCCTTGCGATACGACCCGGGGAATGAATCTTTCGATTCTACTCCGGTAAAAATACTGACAACAAAATTGACGCCATTGCCAAGCAAGGTTTAGGATTATAATTGTGCGCCTATTCGTTTTTTTTTAAGTGTTTCTCTTATTTCTTGTGATTTTTCTTGTTTCAGTGTTTCTCTTTGTTTCTTTTGCTTAGTCTGATAATTCTTGATTTTTGATTGTTTGTTTTTAGGATTCTCCTTTGTTTATCTGGTGCTCGTGATGGTCTTTTGTCTTTGTGTATGCGTACCAGGAGTGGGCGTATCATAGGACCAAACGACGAACCAAGTCACGAGAGCGTAAGGGAGCTGTTCGACAAACTCAGCCTCGAATCTTCTGAAACCACAAAGCCTGACATGGCCCTACAACACTGCGATCTCCTTTGTGACTTAGCCCATCCGATGATTGGGCCGATAACTTCATGCATCCGATTGCCACAAGAAGCTCGGAACTACGAGCTTAAGATGATCCATTACAACCAGCTGCCATCCTTCCACGGGATCCCGAATGAAGACCCGCTTAACTTCATTCGGAAATTCTACAATGTGCTACAAATCTTCCCTCTCCACGGGCTCAGCGAGGAGCAGCTGAAGATGAGGTGTTTTTTCGAGACACTGAAGGACAGGGCCAAGGCTTGGTTCATGACCCTCGCACCGGACTCTCTCACTACCTGGGCCGAAGTATACATGAAGTTCATTGGGAGGTACTACTCCCATCAGAAGACCAGGAGCTCCGGTCGCAAATTGTCTCCTTTGCTCAACTACCGAATGAGCCTCTTCACGTGGCTTGGGAGCGGTTCAAGGATCTCCAGCGGCAGTGCCCTCATCACAACCTCTCTCCGGGGCTAATAATCAACTGCTTCTACGACTCCCTCCATCAGAACTTGCAGTATATGGTTGACAATGCGGCAGGAGAAGATATCGGAACAAAAACGACTGGAGAGATGTTCAAAATTTTCGAGACAATGAGCACGAATTCGTCGCAGAAGAGCAGGCGAGGGAAGAAAGTGACAGTGAACGAGGTCGGGCCGGGCAACAATGTGATGGCCCAACAGTTAGCCGAGCTCACAGAGCAAATGCGTTTACTTAACGCACGAGGAGCTCAGCCGGTTTAGACCATGGCCGTTGACAGTCCTAGGGCATAGGTCTGAAGTGTGCCCTTCAGCCTTCGATCAGGAGTTCGTTGAGCAGTATGCAGATGCCAGCGCTTTACAGGGATACCAAGCCCGACCTGGCAATGACCCGTTTTCAAACACGTACAACCCCGGATGGAGGAATCATCCCAGCTTCTCCTGGTCCAACAACACGAACTCCCTCCAGCAACCCCATCCGAACTTCATGCAGCAGCAACCTCGACCCAACTTCATTCCCCGTCCAAACTACCAGCAACGCAGCAGCCGGGAGGACTGGTAGCCGAGATGCAAGCATCGGGGGCGGCCGGGCCGAGTTCATCTCTCTAGGACGACAAGCTCGACAAAATCCTCCAATTTATGGCCAACAGTGAGCAGCGGAGGGTCAATCATGAAGCCTCCATCAAGCATATTGAGACACAGTTGGGACAACTGGCCACTAGGGTCTGGCACATGGAGGTCGAATCTGACAAAGGGAAGTTGCCTAGCCAACCCGAGCAAGCTAAAGCTATCACGGTTCTCAGAAGCGGGAAGGTAGTGGACAACAAGGTGCAAATGCCCGGACCCGAGGATCAAGAGGTGACCGAAGAACCTGAAAGTGAGGGGGCAGATGCAGAGAAGATCAAGGAAGAAGAGTCTGGGGAAGGTGGCAGACGAGCCCGTACTACACAAGTCACCAAATCCATTCAAGCCGCGCATTCCTTTTTACGGACCAACTCAGAAATGAGAAGCAGGAGAAGCATTTCCGGGATCTTTTCAGCATGTTGTCCAAGGTAAATGTTAACTTACCCCTCCTTGATGTGATTAAGAATATGCCGTCCTATGGAAAATTCTTTAAGGACTTAGTGACGAAGAAGAGGAAGTTCGAGGATGGAGAGAAAGAGGTTGTGTATGAGGCGGCGAGTGCAACGCAGCACGACTTGTCCAACAAGGAACGTGATCCCGGTGGTTTTATTATTCAGATAGCCTTGGGAAACGGGAAGGTAGCTTCTGGGATGCTTGACCTCGGAGTCGGAATAAACCTCATGCCCTTCTCGATTTTTCAGAGGCTCGGTCTTGGGGAGTTGAAGCCGACCCGCATGTGCCTCTAGTTGGCGAACCGTTCCATCCGGTATCCGAAGGGGATAGTCGAGGATGTTCTCGTGAAGGTAGGTAAGCTTATCATTCCCCAGTTGATTTCGTTTTCTTAGACGTTGGAGATGTGCACGAGAATGAGAAGGACCACACCATCCTTCTCGGGAGACCTTTCATGGCGACTACAAACACCCTAATCGATGTGAAGAACGGGACCCTAAATATAATAGTTTTGGGAGAGTCGGTGTGTATTTCCGTTCGAGGAGCCATGTCCGCATCCTCGGTTAATTTTGTAGAAGAGTGTGCTTTCATCGATCTAGCCGACCCCTTTGTTGATGAGATGGTAATTCATGAGTTCGAAGAAGTATCGATGCCTATTTTTGAGGATGAGGATGAGCCTATAGTTGAACTCTTTGAAGTGGGAGAAGGCCATTCCCGAGCTGAGGTCACACTTGAGCTTAAGGAGCTACCCAAGAACCTTAAGTATGTCTTCTTGGATGATGCTAAACAGAAGCCGGTGATCATCCTTGCTGAGCTTGACCGTGATGAAGAAGAGGAGTTCATAGCCATGCTCCGAAAGAACCAGAAAGCAATCGGTTGGAGCTTAGGAGACATTAAGGGGATTAGTGTTGGGATCTGTGAGGATCTCGTTATGCACAAATCATGAATTCAATAGCAAACGTAAACCTATGCGCAGCGGATCTAAAGGTTTGACGTAGAGAACTTACGGATTAAAATTTATGTAGATCTGGTTGACCACGAACGGTTGACCGCAATTGATTGACCCCAACACGCGTCTTGGGTTGCACGAACAAGATCAGATCAAAACTGGATCAAACGGATGCAAACAGATCAAAACGAAATTTTGCTGCCAGACACCTTCCGGTGGCGCGTGAGGGCGCGTGCGGCGTCCGATTCCGGCGACGTCGGCGGCGATGGAAAGCTCTCGTCGAGGCGGTCGTCTGGGTATACTGTACGTCTCAATCGGACTTCCGGTTAGTTCTGTAGGTCAAAATCTATTTCGTCTCGGTTTACCTACAGATCTTCTACTGTATTACTCAATACACCCTTCTTCAACTTGTACCAGTGGAGCAACAAGAAGAAGATAAAGCTCGAATGAGATCTAGAGAGAGAG